CCCACTTGATATTCAAAGTTGTTTCGGGTTAATGCAAATTTTCTTCCCAGGATACAACAGAAAATAAAAATTCCAGTAAGATTCAAAGTTGTTTCGGGTTAATGCAAATTTTCTTCCCAGGATACAACAGAAAATAAAAATTCCAGTAAGGAAATCTGGAATTTTCCTTAATTCGTTGTGAAACAAGTTTGTAATATTATAGATGTTTTTTGATTAAAAAAAGATTCAGAAAAGAATTGTTTTTAGATATCTGAAATTAAACATAAACTATTTATAGGTTTGAAAATGTGCTTCCAACAGTCATAACTTTTCAAAACACCCTTTGGAGCAAACAACCACTTTTCAACAGGCACTTGTCTTTTCATAATTTTAAAATTCAAAATAACATTAAAAAAATATTAAATATATAATTATATATATATATATAAAAATAGAACATTTAAGCGGCAGCGAAAAAAGTGCTAAGTGCGTCTAATAATCACGTCAAAATTGCGCATTATTCGTGCTACCCGCATGCGGGTTTAGAAGCCTACACTTTGATCCACTATTCAAAGCCCAATAAGCATTCAATGCTTTTAAACCTCTAAAAGAATGTTCAAAATTCCAATTATGTGGGACTATCTTGTTTTTTTTTTGCAAACAAATACTAACAGATGAAGCTTCAGACAAACATCTTGAGAGAACTCTATTGAGGCAATAAGTCTCTAGACTTTATTACGAGCATGTGGTTTCATATATCACAGTGTCACACTAAACTACTACTTTAGTTTTCATTGTTGATGGGACAATATCCTGAGAAGTTCTCTCTTCCAGGGCTTTTGGTCCCTTTGTACATGCAGTTTTTTTTGGAGGTAAAAATAGGGCAAGTTGCCCTATCAGTATCTATATTAAAACGGTAAGTTGCAAAAATACACAAAAGCGGGTATCTATATGTGATTTGTACAGGATCCCGGAACTGCTAGGGAAGACTGTCGAAATCGCTCATAGATGCCCCTGAATATTTACATAGGTGATTTGAAAGTAGTAGCGGTCCAGAATTTGATAACATTACAAAAACTAGTCCAAAAAACCGAGAGAGCATGGGTCTGTTGTCGATAATTGAAAATGGGGTTAGAGTTCTCCATTGCTGTCTGTGCTGGAAGAGATTAGATCCGAGAAGCCTCTCTCCCGAATAAGGTTTTTCAACTTGATGGTCTTCTTGGATATGGAGCACCTGTCCAAAAAATTAAATGGTGAGTTGTCTTGGAGATGATTTGTAGAGTTGTACATGCAGTTTCTAAGCCATGACATATGCTACTTGCATCGTTTGATGTTCATTTTTTAATATGCATCTGTAGCTCTTTAAACAACTAGTCAAAATTTCCTCCGAGCAGTATCCATAAAGTTGTGTTTGGTTTGGGGTAAAATGAAGGGGTGGGGAAAATGAAAGAGAAAGGAAAAATAAAGGAAAAGGAAAAGAAATGGAAATAGAAAAGTTTTTGCTGTTTCGCTAGCAATAATATGGTAAAAGAAATTTTGAATATTAGTTCAATAAAAAGGAGGTATAATTTATATTTTGTACCAATATATATTAATAAATTCTCTTAGATTTCTTCTTATGTTTTGAAAAAATTGCTTGTATGCGGATAGGATGTAGATCAGGTGCAGATGTTGTTAGTCTTT